GTAGCTCATTTTAATGTTTCATTCCAAGATTTCTTTACCAATGGATTCCCAAGCATACTTTTTCAAAGAGCACTTAAAATGTTTCTACTTAAAAACGAAGCTTTTTTACAGGATAGATATTTTAAAATGGGCAACACCCCAGTAAGAGGAAGAATACCATTAATAAATTTGGTTTTAATGACCCTGGCAGGGCAGAGCAAGCAGGACCCTGTCATTGCTGAATTGGCTTCAAAGACAGTAAAGCACAGGAAATGGGATGACAGCAAATTTCAAAGCACAGCAAAATCCTCATTAATGCTGAACTTGGAAATCACACTTCAGCTTAAAATGTGCTGAAACAGAAATAGAAAACAAACATATTGCCCTTTGGGTCTTCTTGTGTGGAAAAAAAAAATGAGTGATGAGTGATGGATTATTCTTTGGGATTCTATGATAATCAATTTTGACCACTTGTTTTTCAAGGAGCTTTTATCTTCAGATTCATTCTCAAGGCGAGCTCATCTAGTGCATTCTCCCCAGTGTGTTCAAACATGCACCAAGGACTATCCTACAAACAGAAACTTGAAAGCTTTTCAGCCTCAAAAAATAAATAAATTAAAAAATAAGGCTTCTGCATTGCAGGTAATGGCCTCTTACAGAGGCTTGCAGAGAATAAGTGCAGTTTAGAAGCAAGGTTAGTAACAAACTAAAAAAAAATTAATTATAATTTTTTTGTTCTTTGGTGTGTGTGTGGTTTTTTTAAAAGAGAAAATGCATTTTTCTAGTTCAATCAACTTAGTAGACCCTTTCCCTCCTTGCAGAATAAGAAACAATGTTTTCAAAAGACTATGGTACTTAATATTTTAAAATCAGATTTTATTTTCTAAACTTGACTAATCCATGACTTTCAAATGTAGTGAGTTACAGACCATCATTTATAAGGTGATCCCTTGGAAGTTTGAAAATACTTTCTAAGGGGGAAAAAGTGTTATTTTCATTGTGTTTTCATACTAACACAAGTCTCGTTAACCCATGATGTATTTAAAAGGACATATAATACCCCCCTTTTTTTTCCTTTGAGATGGAGTTTCACTCTTGTCACCCAGGCTGGAGTGCAATGGGCACGATCTCAGCTCATTGGAAACTCTGCCTCCTGAGTTCAAGCGATTCTCCTGCTTCAGCCTCCGACCAGCTGGGATTACAGACATGTGCCACCACACCTGGCTATTTTTAAATTTATTTTTAGTAGCGACGGAGTTTTACCTTGTTGGCCAGACTGGTCTTGAACTTCTGACCTCAGGTGATCCGCCGGCCTCGGCCTCCCAAAGTGCTGGCATTACAGGAGTGAGCTACTGTGCCTGGTGCAGGACATATAATACCTTTTATAAGTAGGACTATCCTACCTTGTATTAGTAGGAATAAAAAATAGAACTTTTTATTCCTACTTATAAAAGGTATTGTATTAAATAAATAGCACTATTTCAGGTTGGAGAAAACACAAATATTAGAGTCAAAGCCACCTGAAATCTGAGTTGAATCCTAGATCAGCTGCTTACCAGATTTGTGATGTTGAGTGAATAGCTTTACCTTGCTGAACCTCAGTGGCTTCATCCATAAAATGGGGGTAATGCCTATATCCCAAAATTGCTGCTGTGAGACCAACACATGGGCCGAGAGCTGCCTCTGGAGTCAGATGTCTGGGTTTGGATTCTAGCTCTACCATTTACTTCCTGGGAGCCATAGGCAAGTTATTTAACTTCTCCATGCATCAGTTTCTTCATTTATAAAATAATGATAACATAGAAACTTACCTCTGGAGTTGCGTCAATTGTGATGGGTTGAGTCAATATGTATAAAGTGTTTCAAATAATACTTGGCACGTGGTAACACCATAAAAGTGTTTGTTTTTATTATTATTAATTTATTAGGTATGTTTTCTCTCTCAAACAACAATAATGAACTCTCCTAAGTTTAAAAATAGATAGATCGATGGAAAGATAAATAAATAGATTGATAATAGTTACCTAGGAAACTGATTTGGTTCATGGTAATTTACCTCTATGTATAGGAAACAAATGTCATCCCCTAGATTGTGTAAATGAAAACATGGAGAAAGAAGGAAGGATTATGTCTAGCCAAAACCACAATTTCAGCTGCACATTCACTTGGTTTAGAAAGAATGTCAAGTGTTACCAATTCTTCAGCAGAAGGAAAACAAGCAACAAGTCTCTGCAGCCAGACATAGAAAGCACTGTTTTGAAAAAACTGGGAAGTAGATCTCAGACATGCTTGGGCAAGATTATTATTCCACTGCATTTTAATTGCAATTGCCATACTAAAAATAGTTGCATTAGACTTCATTTATCATTGTTCAATAGCCCCATTTGTGGAATATGAAAATATTTAATGCCTTGCAAATGAAGACAGCTGGATGCTTAAAACTCTGTCTGAAGAATTAAATAGAGAGTCTTACTGTATTATATTCCCCTGGTACAGTGAAATTGCTGTTTGTCTTTCATATTCTCCAGTCCTAAGATTAGGAAGGAGTGAGGGAAAAGGTTTTATTTTAATAGGGAGGTTACCAACTATTTTAATTTCATCTACTTGGAAAGGTTAACTCCTAAACCTTATAATGGACCACGAATCATGGCCAACCTTCCAAGGTGCCAATATTGCACTCTGCATTAGGGGAAGAGAGTGGAGGAGTAGACAAGGTGGGGATTATGTGAGAAGAGCTGGTTCACTCTAATTTCCAAAGCCTGCTGTCCCTGGGAAGCATGAAATCACGAAGACCATAGCCTCAGGAAAAAAATTATGTTTTCCCACTTTGGGCCCAGACCGGGGCTCCCGACTAAGGCATTGACCTGGCGTAGTGTGTGGGGTTGTGGTGTTACAGTGCAGAGGTCCTTTAGCTATGAATGTTCCTGGGCAGCAGAGTGTCTTCCCCAGAAGCAGAGCTTCAAGCTGGAGAATGTCCAAAAAATAAAAATAATGCCAAGCACCACTAAAACTGTAAGTCATGTTGAATTTCATCTTGGAACCGGAAATTCACAATACAACTCTTGGTATTTCTCTATCAGTGTATTGAGATTAAAAGGAGCTCCAAGGCATAAAAGCAGATCACCCTGGAATTTTCCAGGGATCCCAGCCCAACCAGGGCAAGTCATCTCAAAGGCTGTTCAATTTGAAGGTGGATAACTGGTGACTAAGAAGAAAAAACCAGAATAACATGAAGTGGTGCCAGAAAACACATGAAGTGTTCTGGGACACTTGGCTCTCCTGGTTTCCTTTTAAAATTATTTTTATTATTATAAACAACTTTGCAGAAAGTTTGTCCCCTAACCTCTTCAATAAAATGTAATCAGTGAGATACCGCTAGAATACTTATCACTTTGTCCATGTATACACATCTTATTTACAAAATTTCAGTCACTCTGTATACGATGGGAGTCTCACTTTTCATATTACATTATTTGACTTTTTTCTATATATTTATGGTTTAATGTCATGTTTAACATTTTAAAGGATGACATTGTATTTTATCCAGCTGATATAACTACTTATTTTCTCAAAAGTGAATCAACTTTCTAGTCCTTATTATTGGACTTCTGAACAACGACAGCAACAACAACAAAATCAACATTCACACTGTAGCTTATGAAAAAGTTTATTTTTCTACCCAGTGAGATACTTTATTTTAACATATTGTCAACCCACTGTGAGGCAGAAAAACATAAAAAATTTTGATAGCTGCAACTTTAAAAATTGACTAACAAATGATAGAAACAACTCAACTAAAGGAAAATATTTTAAAAATTATTTGTTCTTTTATTTCCCTATATTATGGAATAAGCTGCTTTTTGCTGGAAGTTGATAGGACTATTTAGAAAGCCAAAATGGCTCAATGTGCTGCACTTGGGAATCTCATTGATTCATTCATTCATTAACTAATATTTATTGCACACCTACTACCTGCTGGAGACTATTCTAGATGTGAGAGACATGGCAGTAAAAATAACCCTCCCCTCACAGACCTTACTGTGGGAAGCATACAATAAATAAATGAATACACAACAAAATGTCAGCTAGTGATATGTGTTGAAAAGAAAATTCAAGAAGGGTAAAAAGATGAAATGCAGAGGCTGCTGTAATATTTCAGAAGGGATGGGAGGTTTTCTCTGATGAAGGGGTAATTGAAGCCATTGCTTAAATCCTATGAGTATCTCTGGAAGGTGATGTCTTGCGTGTGTCCATGCAATAGGTACAGCTCACTTTCGCATCTCTTTATCATTTTTTATTAATTTGTTCAGACAATATTTGTTCTCATGAATGTGCCACTGCTTTGATAGCTATGGGAGATACAGAAGTGAACCATGCAGGTGTGGCACCTGCCTCACAGAGTTTATGAGAAGACGAGAAATTACAAGTGAGACAGTGCTTTGAAAGAGGAAGTACCAGGTACTGTTGTGGTAGATTTTTATAGCTGGGAGGTCAGGGAAGGTTTCCCTGAGGAAGTGACCTTTAAGCAGTGAAGCAAGTGTGAGCCAGATTCATGGGTCAAAGGCAATGGAAGTAAGGGAAATTTACAGGCAGGGAGATCAGTGTGCAAGCTTGCTTTCCTTTCTGACCTTTCTTTCCTTCCTCCCTCCCTCCATCTCTCTCTCTTTTCTTTCTTTCTCTCTCTCTCTTTCTTTCTCCTTCCTTCCTTGCTTCCTTCCTTCCTTCCTTCCTTCCTTCCTTCCTTCCTTCCTTCCTTCCTTCCTTCCTTCCTTCCTTCTTTCCTTTCTTTCCTTCTTTCTTTCTCTTTCTCTTCTTTCTTTCTTTTTCTTCTTTTCTTCTCTTTTTGGCTGTTGACTTTCACCTTTCTCACCTATCCAAATCTTCCAAGGGCTAAGAAGTAATATCACTTGATTATATTTTCTTGTCTTTCTCTGGTAAATGTGCAAATGTATGATTTAGTAGTAGATGAATAAAAGAAAATGTACATGCAGCACAGGAGTCAAAAACAACAACAATAATAATACAACCCAAACTAAATGGACTTTATTCATACTCAAGATTTGGATAGCTTTATTTACAGTAAGTTTTATTGTCCATATTTTGTTAGCTAGAGTGCTATCAATTTATGACACAGATTTTGGCTCATAAATTTCTCAAAGACCACTTATCAAGTTATACTCACTTGTGGTTTTGTATTTAACTCAAGTGCATATAATTTTCCACGTCTTTAAAATAAGTTTTATGGCAGAGAGAGAAGCAGCAGCAGGAGAAGATAGCATTGAAACCTTATAAGAAAAAAATATGTAAGTTGTATTTCCTGTCTATACCAGCTGATTCTTTGAAACCCAGTGTGGTAATGAAGTAGAGTAGGAAAGCTATGGGCCGGTCCCATAAGCTTATAGCTTCCAGAGGGCCCTGAGGTTTAAAAATCCCAAAGAATGTTCTTTTCAAAACTGTTTACAGATGAACCTCAACTTACGATGGGGTTATGTCCCAATAGACCCATGGAAAGTCAAAAATATTGAAAGTTGAAAATACATTTAATATCCCAATACACCAATCATAAACTAGAAAAATTTAAGTCAAACCATTGTGAGTCCAGGGCCATCCGTATGATAAAGAAACATTAGAAACTATGTGAATATTTTCAATGAGAGAGTTTTGCATAATGAGGTATAGTTTCTCCATACAATAAAAACGCTGCAGCCATTAGACAGCCTGTTGTAGAAGGAGGCTCAGTAACAAGAGAGAATGCTTGTGATAATTTTTTAAAGCAAGATGACAAAACTTTGACATGATAAAAATTAGATCAAAAGAGCTGGGTGTGGTAGCATGCCTACAGTCTCAGCCACTTGGGAGGCTGAGGCTTGAGGATTGCTTGAGTCTAGAAGTTCAAGTCCAGCCTGGGCAGCATAGCAAGATTCTGTCTCTGAAAAAGAAAAAAATTAGGTCAAAATATGATATAGTTACAGAGCAAATACATTGATATTTTAATGGGGGTTATATCTTCTTAATGGAATTATAGATTATTTTTATTTTCTTCTTTATGTGTGTGCTTTCCAAATTTTTGATCACAAATGTAAATTGGTTTCATAATCTAAAAAAAAAAAAGCAATAGATGTTCTTGTTCTTCCAAAGAGAAAGGAGAGATTTGAGTAGCAGTTGTTCTTACAATGCACACACATCTGTGTACAAGATGAGAGTTTTCCTTAGGTAAATTCTGAGTCTGTAGCTTTTATGTGAGTGGAGCAAAGGACCCAGAGTTCACTGCAGAGGATCTGAACAACCTTTGATGCTGGAGATTGTGCTTGGTGATTATAAACTTTTGTTTGTAAAACACCAAACGAGAAGGAGAGGGCCAATGAAGTACGGCAATGTTACAAGGAGTAATTCTTTATAAGGAGTAATTCTTCTACCAATGACAGGTTAAATGACATCACTGCTTACATCTCACCATGCCAGCTGCTGACTTATTAACTGGAATGTGTATATCGCGCATTAATAATGTGTTGTGGGGCCTGCATGCTAGTTTTTCCTTTATTTCGTTTATATGGAGAGTGTGTGTGTGTGCAAAGGTTTCGTACACAAAGGTGTATGAAGTCCACCTTTATTTTCATAGCCTCTGGATTTTGTGTTATACTTAGATGTGCCTTTCAAGATTATAGAAGTTCTACTCATATTTTTTTCTAGTGTTTTTATAGGTTTGATTATATGCACTTAAATTCTCTATTCCTATGGTTTATGTTTTAATGTAACTACAGGGTAGGGGGTAAATTTTATGTGTTTCCATACAGCTAGCTAGTTGTTTCAATAGCATTTATCGAAAAATCTATCTTTTCCCCAATTCACGTTATAATTCAACTTTCATATACTTTGGGTCTGTTTCTGAAAGCTATGCCTTTTAATTCGTCTATTGGTCTGTTTCTATACCAATACTAGACTATTTTATTACCACAGTTTAATAGTACACATTGATAATGTATGAAATCTAATTCCCCCAATCTATCCCTTCTTTTCTTTTTCAAAAGCATATTGTAAATTTTTTTGAGCTAATGCATTTCTGAAATGGCTTGCTTGAACACTTCACTTTGCTATACTAACTTGAAGAGATTCTTCCTTTCTTTTATATCTCCAGAAAGTGAATTCTAGTCTGCTCATCCCAGTGAAGCAGGGCAAAATCGATGCCAGTTTTTTGAAGACAGTGTCTATCTGTTCTTCAGAGCTTCTGTTGAGAAGCCATGTGGCCACTGGTCCTTTAGCTCCCTCTAGCCAAGTGGAAAAGCCCCTTTCACATCTGAGCACCAAGATCTTTGGAATCTTCGCCATGTCTGTAAGCAAGATCTAGTCTAAAGCCTAATTACACGGTCTAGGACACATTCCAAATAAGGTATTACTGCTCTCCCATTCTGAACTGCTATGGCCATCTCATTCAAAAAAGAGCCAAAGAAAGTCTTTTCAAAAGCAGCTGAAAAAGCTATAAAACTGATTAACTCATTAATGCCTGATTTTTTTAATTCCCATTTTTTGTACACCCAGATGTCAACCTTGGTTAACAGATCAAACCATTCACAAATGTCAAATCCCAATGAAATGCAATCAGAATCTTCTAGAATGGGACTCAGAAGTCTGTATTTTTAAAACTCTCCAAGTAATTCTGATGGATCCAATCATTGGATCAGAGTCAGGGAAACTACTGTAGATTATACTACTTTATCCTCACTAACTTCATTTGTAAAACGGGAGCAAGAAATATCAATTTCATAGAATTGCTAAGAGTGATACCTAATATGTACTAAATCTTGACTGTATGCCAGGTGTAACAGCCCTATAAAGTAGATACTAGATTATCCCCCTTTTACAGATGAGGAAATTGAGGTACACAGAGGTTAAGCAATTTGATAAAAGTCATCCAGCTAGCAAGTGTGGAGGGCAAGCATATCAACTGCTAGGGTTAATGTGAGGATTATATTAAATAATGTATTTAAAGCCTCTGGTACACAGTAGGTGCAAATAAATGCTCTCTCTTATCTTCCTTTTATCCACATCATTCTACTCATGCCCAGGACAATACTTTGACCTTAGCAGTGCCCTAAGAATTGAAAGTTTAGTATCCTGGAAAGTAGAAAAGAAAAGGGAAGTTAAGTAGTAGTGGAAGGAGGTGTTTGGGATCTCCAACAGAGAGAAACACAAAGAAAGGTGTAATTACATAGGGAAAAACAGGTGCACATGAGGGGAGACAGTGGCTTGGCCACTGAGGGTAGGATAAGGCAGGGTGATAACCATTAAAAGAGGAAAGCCAGGGTACAAGATGAGAATCTCAGAGGAATGGAGTCCAAAAAGACACCTATTTCAGCCCCCCTCCCACTGCATGGTAATTCAGTTCTCACTTGGAGATTTTCTGTGACAAGAAACTCAATTTATCAAGGCAGAGGATGCTTTAGCTGTTAGAAAATTGTTCATATTGATTCATTCTAGAGTTTCTACCCACAGGTTCTCCTTCAACCCCTTAAGGTCCTGAAGAATAAATTTAATTTCTCTTCTATTTGACGGTTCTTCACATATATCAAGACAGTTACCTTGTACCCCTGGGGCAAAACCTTCTGCTTCCTTTAATATTTCCTCATACGACATAGGTTCTAGCCTCTTTACATCCTGGTCCCTCTACTTGTGCAGGTAGATAATTTCTTTCTGCCAAGTCTTAATTGCAGACAATACTTCGTGTGGGTACTCACCAACACTAGGTAGCACAATGAGACCTATCTTGCTTTACATGTCAGACTTCCATTGATGCAGCCTAAGAGCATTTATTTATTTTGGCAGCCACAATTCACTGTGGACTCAGATTTTTTGTCACCTAAGACCCTTCATCTTGCTCCTATAAGCATCTAAGACACCTCTGCCTCCGGCTGGCTTCACACAGGGTGAGACTCCACATTTACCCTTAGAGTCAGCCCACTGCTCCAATATTGTATGTGGTTTGTGCTATATAATAGCATCTCTTCCCCTCCTGGCTTTGTGTCATCTGGACATGTGATGCGAATCTTCTGGATTTTCCTTCAGGCCACTGATAAAAGTTCTGATGTCTGGACCTGGGAGAGAGGCTTCTGTCATTCTGAGGGTAACTGGTGTGGTATAGACGCTTTGAAATAAAAAGAAAAAGTCTGGTTTGAATCATGGTTCTGCCACCTACTGTGTAACCTTTGGCCAGCTAGCTAAATTCTGACTTTCAGTTTTCTCATCTGTAAAATGGGGCAATAAAAGCTTCCTCACAGTGTGGTTATAAAGATTAAGGGAGAAAATGCGGGGAAAGTACTTAGCACAGTGTCTGTTATGTAGTAGGTGCTGCTGGAATGTTGACTGACTCCCTGCAATCTTCCTTTCAGTCAACGTGGACTCATTAATCAGCATCTTTAGGTTATGGTTACTTAACCAGTTGTTAGCCCAATTAATGATACTAGCATCCATCCCATATTTCTTCATCTTGTCCACGATATCTTGTCAAGTGCTTCCCTTAAGTCCCACTTACCTAGAGTGATCTTCTCATGAAATTGGGGCAGAGACAAAGTAGCAATAAGATTCCATCAGCGTGTAAACTTAGGAAAAATAGCAAGCTACCGACCGAGGTGGTTGACCTAGAAAACAGCCAGCATTCAGCCCACAAGCACATATTGGGCACTCCGTGCCTGTCAATGAGCTGGGGATGGGCAATGCTGTTACAAAGATTAAAAAATGCAGTGTCTGTATTCAAAGAACTTATCAGCCTAGAAGTCTAGAGTCACGGGGGGCCAGTCTGGGTAACAGAATTAGGCCAATTGATTTAATTCCATTTGTTCATATATCCAGCCAACAGATATTTATGGTGCACTTGCTGGGTGCCGGTCCCGCCCCCACCACTCCACCCTACCCCAGCAGGCGCTAAAGGAGAGCTGGCACGATGGATAACGAAAAAGAAGACGCTGTCCTTCTATTCAGGGAGTTTAACATCTGGAAGAGCCGGGATTTCTTTGTGCTAAAGGCCCTCTACAAAGTGCCTGGGATGCAAAAATAAGTCAGTGTCTCTGTCCTCTCAGGAACCGAGTTGCATGTCGTTATCAAATTTTTATTTTCTCTAACTGTTTCCTTCCGTCTCGCTCCGTAGACAGCTTTTCGCAGCAGAGAGCGCTGCCGCGGGGCTGGTGTCTACCCCTCAGCAAGTGGTCAAAACCTGGCTACTGGAAGGAAATGGCAATGGAATCGCTCCGCGCTCGAGTATTCTCTTTGGAACTACGGGAATGACAGCTCCAGTGGGACACTTGGAGGTCATGACGAACGCAAAGAACGTGAGAACACTTGCAGTCCTCGGGGTGGAAACACCTTCTAGAAATACTGAGTATTCGTTCTCTAGTTTAGACTTGGGCACACCAGGGGTTTTAGGAAGGGTCTGGCACTCAATGTTCCTAAAATTGGTTTCCTAGATGGAGCTGGAGGGAGGGGAGTCAGGAACTGCTGCTTTTCGTCGCAATGCCCCGAGTGGAGGAGAAGGAGGAGGGGTGAGGGCAGACGGCCAGACGCCAGCCGGCAGGGGACCCAGAGAAGAGGGACATCCCCGGCGACCCCGAGGAGCGCGGCGTGGGCACCGCAGTGGCCGCGGTTAGTGGGAGACCTGAGGGGAAAGGGAGAGGGCAGGGGCGAGGAAACCCAGGGAGCGCGCGCAGATTGGTCTTCTCCTCGGGGCGTGCGCTCCTGTGCGCCAAATGATTGGTGGCAGGAAAGTAGCAGGTAAACCGGCCCCTGCCGCCTCGCCATTGGTCCGCGGCCTCTCTAGCCGCCACACAACTGGCCAGCGGGCTGCCGAGCCGCGCGCGGATTGGCTGGTGGCGGCCGCCGGGACCGGCTCCCTTCGGGCGCTCGGATTGGCTGGCGGGAAGAGGCAGGTATCCGGGCTCCGCGGCTCCTCCATTGGTGGGCGGGGAAGGGGGGTTGGGCACAGCGATTGGTGGGCGGGGGGCCGGGCCTGGGCCGGCGGGGAGCGGATTGGTCGGAAAGTAGGTTAGTGGTGCGACATTTAGGGAAGGCAGAAAGTAGGTCAGGGACGGAGGTGCCTGTTTACCCGCGCCGGACTCACCGCCGCCGCCGCCGCGGGATCCGAGTGCGGGCGCGGGCGCGGGCGCTCCCGGCGAGCCACGGTGAGTGTCAGGCCGGCGGCGGCCAGCGGCGCGATCCCGCGCACCCCGTCGGGGGCCGTTAGAGCCCTCGCGGGCGCTGCGCCCCTGCCGCCGCCCCGGGGGCAACCCGGCCGCCGAAGAACCCTGCCCGACGTGCCCGCTGCCGGCCTTAAAGGGCCCGTGACCGCTCCCTGCCCCCACCCGGGCCGCGGGGAGGCTGCGCCCCTTAAAGGCGCCGCGCCCGTCCGCCCCCATCCTCCTCGCCTGGGCTGCCGTTGCGGGCTAGGGCAGGCAGAGGTGCCGCAGGAGCCCTTGAAGGGGCCGAGAAAGTGTCCGCTGGAGTACCCACCGCCCTTCCGCGGGCATCGCTACCTGGCGGGGGGAGGGGGCAGCTAGCTGCCTCTTAAAGGGACAGCTCTGCACTTGGGGGCAGTGAATCGGCTGAGGAGGACTCGTAGATGTATCCCCGGGAGCTTCGGGGATCCCCGAGGGGACCATCCTTGGCGGCTGCCCCCCAAGGGCGTTGGGCGAACCGTGCCGCGTCTGCCCTTCCTCTCCGCTTCACTTCCCTTTCGGGAGCCCGCGAGGCTGGGTGGGGGCGGAGAGGGCGTCTCCGTCGGGCTTGGGGAGTCCAAGTCCGCCCGCCCCTTCGGCCCTGTAGCCAGGGCTGGCGCTGCACCCGGGAATCCCCGGCCGGCACGGGGCCGACCCCAGCCTGCGAACTTTCGTGGGGCCTGTGCGGTCCAGGTACTGGGCGGCCCGCAAGGATGCCCCGTGGGTCTGCTGGCAGGTGCGCTTCGGCGTGGGGATGTCGCCCGGAGCCCGGGTGCGGGCCGGCCTTGGAGCCCCAGAGCTCCGTGGAGGGCGCAGCGAGCCTGGCTCCAGCTCCGAGTTTGACAGATGTCAGGGAAGAAAAGGTTCCCGCTTGGCTATTGCCGGGCGTTGACGTCCCAGAGAGGTCCCCGTTTGCTTGGAAGAAGACGAGGAAGGTAGAGGTGAACGTCGACCTTGTGGGGTGTATGTCAGCCACCCCGAGGGGTCGCGAGAGCCGGCTGCGGGGTGAGCGCAGGTGCCGCCCGGCAGGAGCTGGGGAGGGAAGGGGTGTGCTGGACACCGGCGCCTGCTGTCAAGTTCTCGCCGGCCGGTGAGAGAGCCGCTGCCGCCGCGCACCCCGCACCTCCTGACCCCTCTCCCCTCTCCGCCTCGGCCCCTTCCCGGTCACCTAGCGTTGTTTTGGCGCTTTGGCGCTTGCGGTCTCTTCTCCCTTCTTCCACCGCTACTCTTCAGTAAGAAATTATTAGCCAAGTTTTCTCACCCAGCTTCCAAAAATCAGATTCCGTATTTGTGAACAAGCTTTTCTTGACACTACCCGTATACCCGTATTTCCAGCATCGTCGTTTTATTAAAAATCCACAAAAGCTGCTCCTTAGATGCATTCCTTTCCCACGACACCTGCTTGCTTGTCATTTGTCCTTCTGACATATGCTGTTGTTCACCTCTTTAATCTATTTTTATATGACTATTATTTTAATTCTTCTGGACTCATTGATATCAAGATCTGTCAATTTGGGTTGGTGGTGTCTTTAATTAATGTACCCGTTGAATCATAAGCTTAAAATAATCATTGCTGCTCTTGAGCAGTTTTGAATAATATCATGCTCTCTGTGCTTGCAAGACTTAAAAAAAAATCGCCGCTGTTATATATGATTTCCATATCAAAGGAATTCCAAAATATTTTTGAAAATACAAAATTCGATCTTTCAGTCCATGTTTTGTTACTCAGATCACTTTATTGATAAGTCTTTAAAACCGCTTATAGAACATATTTAGAACGTTTGGAAATTTCCTGGACAGGATTTGAAATTGCCTGTATCATCTGAAGCTGGGTCTGTAGAAGCGTTTTGGTTTTGATTGTAGGCGTAGCCAGTGAATGATAGCAATAAGTTAAAACTGTAGTTAAATTTGTTCTTTATTCTACCCTCTGAAGAAAAAACAGGTCTCGTACAAAAGCACTAAGGGAGTTAGAAGCTGGACATCCTGGTTCTAGTTTAGGCTTGGGCTCTCATGGCCTTTCCAGTTATTAAATTTATTAAAAGTTATTAAATTTTTCTGGGTTGTGTTTGCCTCTGATGGAAAGTAAGACAGTAGAATTAGGTGATCTCAAAGGTTCCTCTGCTGTAAAGTTCTGTAAGTCTCTAAATATTTAATACATCTGAATTCAGGTTGGTATTTACCTCCTGGCACCTCCAGAATATCTGAGCTGAAGCCCTATTTTCATAAGAAGGTTAAGCAGATAAATAGATGGTGTTTTAAAGGATCCATTTCAAATGATTTATAAAACGATGACTACTCACGAGTTTGTCTGCTATTTGCAGAAGAGGTTTGCATGCCACAGGGCAGGAAAAGGAAGTGGCCGTGTTTTCAGATTTATCCCTTCACACAACAATCTCTGTGGAATTTATATGCTAAAAGATGGACAAGCACCATAGAAAGATTTGGCTGTATTAACAAAATTGCATATGAAAAGGTAAAAACTAGATAGTTAATATCTCTCTTTGGTGTTAGGGTTATAATATATCTGAGCTTTCTTTGTGATTTCATCATCAACTCTCACTGTGGTAGGAGAAAGTCAATATTGAATAAACAGCTTCAGCCCCCTGATTACATGTAGTGATTTTAGGAAGCATCGTGATAACTAAAGTAGTTATTTGCAGGGAAGTAAAATATTCTTTCTAGACCTTGAGGTTTAGTTGGGAACTAGGGACACAGGCATGTTATCCTTCTCCACAGTCTTTTTTCATTGTCACCTTATCACAAGACTCAGATTTATCCCAAATACCCACCCTGTATTTTCTTCTCCTTCATGAAATAAGACCTGCTCTGACCCAACCCCCCTCAGCATCTCTTGCTTCCTGCCCAAAATGTCCTGTCTCTATCCCCGTCATCCCCTCCTCTCCTCCCAGTTCAGAGAAAGCAAGTGGACCCCTCCTCTGTTCCTTTTCTTGGCCTCTCACCATGGGCAAGTGCCTGGGCTTAGGTGGCAGAAGAATCTATGACTCAGGTTTGGGCTGTGTGGCCTTGGATGTGTGCTTGACTCCTTTGACCTCAGGCTTCTCCTCTTGGTGTAATGGCAGTGCCTGCCTCATTGAGTCTGTGTGAGGATTAAGGGAGATGGTGCATGTAAAATGCCTGGCACACAGGAAGCCTTTCCTTTGTGCCAGCTGCCATTCCTTCTCACCTCTGCCCGGGTCCTGTCACTAGAATATTATTTGTGCTGTTTGTCCTTAGTCTCCCCCTCCCCACCCTGAAAACCTTAGGCTTGATTTAGGAGAGGAAGGATGGAAGAGGCAGAAACACACTTGTGGCGAGCCTGCTGTGTGCCAGGCAATTTACATGTGTCTTTACTTGGTACCCCAGGTTCGTATGCCTCTCTCTTTCCTCCCTTCTGCCAGCCTCCCCCACTCTCCCATCTCCTGCTCCATTCTTAGTACCTGCCCTCTGGCTTCTCTCTCTACCACCTTTCTTTATATTTCTTCTCAAAGTTTTCTCCAAAACTTTGTCTTGAGTTCCTGGGGCCCATCTGCCCATCCTTATTCCTGAGTGGTTGTTCTTGGCCCCTTTGCAGTATTTTTTTTTAAAGGGTCTCACTCTTGCCCTGCCATGGCTCACTACAGCCTCCCAAGTCTCAGGTGATCCTCCTGTCCCAGCCTCCAGAGTAGCTGAGACAACAGGTGCATGCCACCACACCTGGCTAATTTTTGTATTTTTATTAGAGATGGGAGTTTCACCATGTTGCCCAGGCTGGTCTCAAACTCCTGGGCTCAGGTGGCCCACCCGCACCAACCTCCCAAAGTGCTGGGATTATAGGCATGAGCCACTGTGCTCAGCCCCTTTGAAGCTGTTACCTCACTTGTTTTTTTGTCCCTTGAAATCCTTTCCTCCCTCAGCCTTTGGGTCATGCTGGTTTCTTGATTCTCTTCTTGCACCCCTGTAAAGATAAATGTCTGTCCTAGCTTCTGCTATTCATACCATCCGTGGCCCGGGGTCCCCTCTTTAGCCCTGACCTGTGTCTCCTGTGTTCTGCTAGCAAGGCCATTGTGGACATTAATGGCAGCCTGTAACCTGCATTTGTGGCCTTGGAGTTACGGGTTTGCAGACTGCTTGCAAGCACTGTCACAATGAGTCCTCATGACATGCTGGAGCCTACATCCCTTCATTCCCCAAGCTGTCCTAAAAGGCAGTTTGGTTGGGTAGTTTAGCATACAGACTCTGGAGCCAGATTTCACATCCTAAGTATTCCCTACTGGCTTTGTGACTTGTGGTCAAGTTTCTTTTGCTCTCTATGCCTTGGTGTCCTCATCTGTGAAACTGGGATCATAGTAGCCCCTACATCAAAGAGTTGAGGTGTGGATTAAATGAGTTAAAGCATTGGAAAAAGCATTGACAAGGGGTGCAACAGGGCCATAAGTGGACAAGGCCGTGAGTACTTAGGTCTGCGTGGAAGGAGGGTTTGAATTGGGGACTTAACCTCAGGGGGAGATAAGATTCGATAAGGTTTAGTCATCTTCGCTACAGGGGAACGTTGAGTACTGGCATGTAATGGAGTATGGTTTTTACCTTAGTACGTGCTGTCCTTTTAAATAGTGTAAACTAATTTTTATCTAGCCTGGTTAAAGAAAGGATGGCTGGTCTGCCTAACTTAATATTTGGCTAATGCTCTACCCACTGAGTTTTGTGCATGTACTGAATGAAGCATTGGCTTGTAATTATTCCTTCAACCACTGTTTGAAATGTGTGACCTGGGCAAGTCAGTTAGCTTCTCTGAGTGCAAAATAGGAATAACAATTATTATGGTAATAGCTAACATTTATTGAACACTTTCTATATACCAGCACATATGTGAGTCACCTCTGCTTATTAACTCATTTAGACCCCATAACAACTCCATGAGGCAGGTACTATTATCCTTACTTTACAAATGAGGTGGTTTTATAAACTGTCCAAGGTCACTCAGCTGTTATGGCTTGGGGCAGGATTTGTGCCGGTGGACTCCAGAGTCTGCCCTGTAACACCCTAGTAGATGCCTACTGGGAGGAAACACCCCGTTACATCCCTTACGTCACTCAGCCGCACCATGCCAGGAGCCTAGTAGGCCGACAGCAATTGGGAACCAGTGTTATTGTTGACAAACGTGGTATGAGCCTCTTTTAGAGCAGGACCGGCTGAAACCCTCCGCATAAGGGACGCGGACCTGGATGCTACCTGAGCAGCAGCTCCAAGGGCTTGTGAGCATTCTCCTCACATTCTGTTGTGCCTGGCTGTCTCTGGCCTCCTCCTGCCTTCTCTGCAGTGTTGCTCTGACCCAGGCCCCCTGTGGCTTAGCCAGCTCCTCCCCAGGCAGCTCCTTGTGTGAGATGAACCTTTTAACATAACTCACTAACCCCACTTCCTAGCCTCATCTAGCCATCTGCAGAGCTCCTCACCAAGGAGGGGACCTTTTCAAAGGTCTCTCACCTTTGTCCTTTTCTCCCTGAAGACCAACGTCCACAACCTTGGTATATCCACAGCCTTGGGGGGGTGTGTGTGTGTGTGTGTGTGTGCATATATATATATATGTTTTTAATGCCAGTTGTTCCCCAAATACATTTAGATAGTAAGGGACACATTGTTTTATGTCAAGAACCTGTTACATAAAAATGTGTTATATAATGTTCAAATATATACTGCACAGTGAAATTAGATACCACTTTTTTTTTTCAAAGAATAAAAAGATAATAAACACAGGCTGTCCTGAATATAATTAACCTCAGATTTGGGAGGCATGGAAGGACGTGCCCTGCCCTCAGAGCTCTCATCCTGAGCTCTGTCTTTCTTGAGTGCACCAAGAGCAGGACGGATGGGAAGTTGGCCTGAATCTGCCATGGTGTGCTACTGTGAGATGCTCTGGAAATTGTCTTTTTTTTTTGGCGGGGGGGTGGAGATGCCTTCACATCTTGCTCACTTGTATCTTTCTCATGCCTAAGCAGAGGAAAGAAGCTCTTTTTGCCCCCTCATACTTAGACCACCCAGGTCGTCTTCTGACTAGTTTTCTGCTCTGCTTACCTCCTTTCAGTCTTCCCACATGACAGGCCAGCTTTACCTGCTAAGAACAGCCCTGTTGCCAGTGGCATGCAGGTGACACCCCTGTGTCCAGTCTTCCAGGCTCTCCAGGGTCTAGTCCTGTTCCTCCTCTGCAACCCTGCTTCCCCACCCAACCTCCATTCCCAGCCACAGCCCTGTACCCGAGGTTCAGTTCTCCTTGCCTCTCCGCTGTCCTCCCTAGGCCTCCTGATTTCACACTCTCCCTCTGGCTGGATGGGTCGTTGCTTAAGTTGTTCCCTTGAGGCCTCTCTTCCTTGCCCCTGCCTGCCTTGGATCTCACTTCTCTGTGAAGTACCTCTGATGACATTTGTTCCCTTTATGTGTGTTCTCCTTTTTACTCTTAATTACCAGCCATTCATTCATTCAGAAGCAAGGGTATGTCATAATGAGCAAATTACCATATCATACCAAATCAGGATGGCCAGTTCTCTCATTTTTAAATTGTTTCATGGCTAATTATCTGTGCTTACTTCCAACTCTCCAGTTTCACTCAGTTACTCTGTCTGTGAAGTTTATTGGATGCATAGCACTGTTCTGGGCACTGAGGATACAGCAGTGAACAAAACAAGGGGCCAGGAGGAGGAGGCAGATGATTAATAATGAAACACGTTCATGCTTTGCTGTGACAAGTGCTGGGAGTGCTAGGATGGCAAGCAAATAGAGTAAAGCAGTAGTGATGAGGTATGGTGGGAGGGAGGGTGCCTTATCTGGATCACAGGGGAGACCTCTCTGATGAGGTGACGTTTGAGCTCAGCTCCAGAAAGATCTGGGGGAAGGTATCCCAGGAAGAGAGAACAGCATGTGTAAAGGCCCTGAGGTTGAAAGGTGCTTGATATCTTTGAGGAAAGTAAAGGCTAGTGTGACTCAATTATGAACCGCTTGTGTACACATGTTTTCTGCCTCTTTTATACTCCCTTTAACCCTGAGTCCAGGGTTAGAAAGGCCTTGTAAATACTTGCATACA